GGCCGGGCGCGGGGGGGGGGCCCGGCCAAGCTGACCAGGCTGCCTCTGTCCCTGTCCCCAGTGCTGAAGGAAGCCATACCTCCGGGCAGAGTAACGGGCGGGACCACCAGGCGCTGGCCAAGGCGGTCCAGGTCCACCAGGACACGCTGCGCACCATGTACTTTGCTTGACATGCTGTGTTTACGATTGTGTGCGGAGTCGGATTCACACGAGACCAGCGACACTCAGACCAACCGACGCCAGCCCCGTGGCAGCCAGCACTGGACACCACGCGTCGTGGACTCAGCCGAGGCTCCTTTCCCAGAATGCCTTCCGTCCGGACTTCACACTCGTTCTGAGCTGCAGACCTGTATGAGACCCCACTGTCGCAGGAGAGATGGTTTGCCAAAATCTATCCGCTGCTTATTAAATAGTCCCGTATTTCCTAAAAACATCTCCTAAAAGCAGTCTATGAACTCAGGGCTTTAAAACATTTTTAATTTATTTGGTCATTCGATTAACTTGTTTTTAACACGTGATTCTGTATGGAATTGATGGGCTCAAACTAGCTGTGAGCGTTCTCTGAGGGTGAAAGCAACGCAAACACTATTGTGGTTTTAAAGCCTTGACCATTCTGACGTTGTCACTCACGCGTGTCCCACGCGACACTCGTGTGCCCTGACGTGGCTCCACAAGCTCTTAGGGACCCGCGGTGGGTGCCCCACCCGCGGGGGAAAGGGGCCGGGACACCAGAGACCACGCCCACTCAACATTTCTAGGTCCAGAGAGATTGGCAGCCAAGTGCCATTTTAATAAAAATTTATTAAAAAAACAAAAAAAAGAAGAAGAAAAAAGATGGTATGCCGACAGTCTAATGGTGAGATTGGTCCTCTAGGACTGTGACATTTATTTTCCAAAGTTTCTAAAGAATACGGGTCTGTGGTGATGATACAGTACAATCCTTTCACTGTATGTCTTTAATGTAGAGAATATATATATCTGGTTGCAGTATTAATGTGAGCGCTCGGCGCTGTCTCAGTTCCTGGCACGGGGACTTCTTGTGCTTGGTGTCGGGGCCGGGAGGCGGCCGCCCCGTGGGTCTCAGCTTCGGCGCC